TTCCCTCTTTCCCACGAACAGTGGGTCAGCTTTGAGTTGCCTTAATCATTTGGAAAAAAGCCTGAGAGTGGACCCAAATCAAATTCTCTGAGCTCAAATGCCTGTGATCACAGGGGAAACCAGAGCCCGGAGCTTGGCGTGGCTGCTCAAGGCCATGTCCACGACCGAAGGCAATCCCAGAGCACCACAGAGGCACGGAGCATACCCTGCCTGATTTTCTACCAGCCGATGCGGCTCGTGGACAGGCACAATGGTTGTTAATCAGTACCCTGAGAAGCAGCATAGAAGGCAATGAAACAGAGGGGCACTCTTCCAAATTAGTGCAGGTATCCCAGAGAGAACTGCAGCGGGGGAAGCCAGCGCTGAGAGAGATCCACAAAAACTGAACCTTTCCCCAAGCATTTTGTTTTTTGAAACTTTGCCTGTCTTATCATCTGGGTATTTATACAGTTAACATGAAATGAGAGCTAGTAACTCAGTCGCATAAAAAACCAAAGATTTCCAAATTGCAGGCATAGCAGAGTACCTTTCTGCAAACACACAAAACGTTTTGAGAGTCAAGCTGTAAAATCACAGTAAGTGCAGCAAATCAAATTAAATCTGGATCTTTCAGCCAGGAATATTTCAATTGTAACACTAATGCATCCCCCAATGAGTTGATCCGTTTATTTGGCTTTAGGAAATAGAAGAGAACTGGCAGTGACCCTATTTTGGGAAGAAGGGAGGGAACCTGAGAATGTCTATCATTTTCACAGGGAAGACTCCCAAACAGATGATGTCACTTTCGAGCATAGCAGAGCTCAGGTCCACAGCCTCTGCCTGGCCAAATATCTAAATCCATTATTTGGCTACTAGGGATATTCTCCAAAGCAGTGCCCGGCTGCCACCTCCATCTTTATGTGCCTTGGTGTCTGCCAGCTGATGCCAACTGATGGCCTTTGTCAGGCAGCCGTCCCTGCCCACTGGTTCCCAGCTCCAGCTAAATCCTGGAGTCAGAAGCCAGGCAGGAGAGCGCCTCTTCTGTCAGTAGGACCCGCTGCTCTGAGTGCACGAAGATTTTATACTTGTCAAGTTCAGCAGCCAGGACAGGCAGCTGCGGGCTCCTGCAGCCGCCAGGACACAGCACAGCCCCCGCTCTTGGCAGCCCAGGGCAAGACCCCCCTCACCATCAGCACTTCCCTTCACCCACTGGAGGGCACCCCTAAGTGCCCGGTGTGGATGTTACCCACCAACTAGTAACCAGCTGTGAGATGTCTTTGCATTAAGATATCCAGAGGACATAACAAGGGAGGGGCAGCATCACAGGTTTTGCAGCCATGTGTTGCCCACCTCATTTATCAAAAAGCCCATTGACCATCAACAGTTCACTCTGAGCCTGCTCGCAGAAAGCAAGATCACTGCTCTCTTAAGCTGGTCATGAGAAACTGAGGTATGTGCCACTTCGGAGAAGTTTGGATTAAAGTGGAAAATAATACATAGGTACCAAAAAAGCTATCTTCAAACCCCTCAATTCAGTACCATTTCTCCTACCTTTTTTTTTTCTAAACACTAATCCTGGAGGAGTTGAAATATTCCCCTTGTCTGAGTTAATGCTGCCAACGTGATGTTGCTGGAACCACTTACATAAATTTTCATACTACATCAATGCACCAAGATTTTCCACTAGCTGCAGTAAAATAGACTCATGTTTTTGGACTAAAAATCGATTTTACTTTGCACTTCTAGATATGTGGGGGGGAAAAAAAAAAGAAAAAAAAAACATACAAAAAATCACCATGAAAATAAACTGCGTTTTTCATCTGAAGGAACGGCATGTTCTCCCTCCCTCCTCTCCACTCTCCAGAGTGTTTTCTATTAATATTAAAGTTTTTTCTGCCCAGCTGTTTCCTCCCAGTGTAATCTCCCATGTAATCTCTTCACAGGTGTGGAATCTTTATACCAGCCCCAAATTGCTTTTTTCCTGGCTGACAAAAACAGCTTTCAGAGAGCAAAGCTCTCACCCTTTCAAAGACACCTATAGCACTAAAGGGCATGGACTCAAAAGCGTTGACAGTAAGACCTCACAGCCCCCGCCACCTCCCAGCGGCTGAATGCACAGGGCTATGAAAATGATGAACGATCTTCAGCGGGGCAATCGTGTGTTATTCTTGACAGCCAGGAGATGGGAGCTGTACCGGGTGTAAATATTCCTCCAGTGAGACAACCAAACAAGGTGGTTCAGTCCTGCTTCCCAGGTCACACCCTACATCAGCGAGCTGTTGAAAGCAATTGCTGCGGGCAGCCGCTTTACTGTCCATCCCTCATCACTGCTCCAAACTGTAAATCTCTCCTGGGGAGAGCATGTTACCTGCTCTCTCTTCCCAGTCGCTCCCCCAGTCTGTTGTGGGATGGCTGTGCTGTAAATGGGGGGTCCCGAGAGCCCACGCTGCTGCTGCCACTTCTCCTTTCGCAGAGAGAGAGATCAAAACAGGGAAGCCCATAGGAGGAATGAACAGGCTCATGTTGACTTCTGTGAAAAAAAAAGAAAACAAAAGCAGAAGGAGGATGAATGAGATGGGATACCAGGGACTGATACCAGCACCAGGAGAAAGCAGTCATTTTACTTTACATTCGGAAATACAATTTTCTGTCGCGTATAAATCAAAGGAATAAAACTTGCTGCTGGCAGTAAGCGTCATGTATTCCTATAGCTGTACCTTGAAAAATCCCCGAAGTTTGTTCTGGGACCAGGGTTCCCCAGTGGGCTGTTCAAGAGGACACTCAAGTGTTCCTTCCAGAGAAGCAGCACACATATCCCTCAACCGCTAAGGCACACGGCACGGCGCCTGGCAAGCCTACCTGATGGGTGTCCGACTGCAGCTCCATTCTGTATTTGCTAGGAACGCTGATTTTTCAGCCAGGCTTATGCACCACTGCACAAAAGCGAGTACAGGCCGAACAGAGCGCTGGGCGGGCTTGCGTTTTGTGAGCATGGGTTGTCCCTGCACCCCCTCCCACAGAGTGGGCCCCCACTAGCTGAATGGAGGGTCAGCTGTGTCCCTGCATCTCATCCAGATTGCAACCCAAGACCCTAAGGCAGGAAACACATTTTATTCACTATTTCCCATTTTTATGATAAAAGCCAGTACAACTTCACTTCAAAACAGCAACTTCATTTTTACAAACACTTAAAAGAAATAAATGACCTAGAAATGGTTAAAAGTGGTGCTGCTACAAAGTGAGGAAAAGATTGCTGCCTGCTGACGGGCTGTGTGCACAGAGCAGTGGCAATGTTCAATCATCTACCGTCTACTACATTAGGAATATTCACCTAAGCCCGAATTTCAACTTCTTTCTGGAGTCCTGTTTATTTGGGAAACTGCAAGGCAGGAGCTTGCATTGTAGCTGGCCGACATCAGCACAGGGGCTGCAGTCAGCGCAGAGCCCGCGCCCTCATCCCCCCACGGAGCGCGGCACATCTGCCCAGCTGACATCACGCGTCACTGTGCGGAGCAGATCCACACCAAACCGCTTCGGTGCCCATTGCTGAGGGGCCACATGTCCTGCATAACCACAAGGCATTTACTGAGAACTGTGTCCAAGACTACTCTTCTCCATCCCACAGCTGAAGAAACGGAGACAGACAGCTAATGATTTGTCCCGTTACAGAACAAGCCATTAGCAGCACAAGGAATAAAAGCTGATTAACAATTTCAGTAACGCTGTTGTTCAATGTGTCCTGAATGTCCGCACAAGAAAAAATATTTAAAAAAACATACCCAAGTCAAAGTAATTTTATTAATAACCCAGAAGAGCAAATTGCTACATTTTACTGAGAGAAAACCACAGCTTTATGTACCAGGGCAGATCTTGGGAAGCCGCATACTAAAATGCCGATTATGCAAATTTATCTTACGAACATTTTTAGACAAGAATGAAGCAGGGTTTATTTTCTTTAATTAAAAACAGAATCCTACATAGTTCATTAGCATGGATTCAGAGCAGAATGAATATTAATGTAGCCCACCTCTCCCAATTCTACCTGCCAGAAATATCAAGGAAAAAAAAGGTTAGAAAATGGATTCCTGAGCGACCGTAAATGCAACTAGCTAATGTCACTGCAAGGCTGCTGGCATCTTTGAAAGGTCACAGAGATCAGGAAAACCTTTTTGACCAGAAAAAGGCAAATGATCCTGCCACCTTCAAAAAGGCAAGAAAGATCTGGGGAGCTACAGGCTGGTCAGCCTCACTTCAGTCCCCAGGAAAACCAAGAATAAGCCCTTATGGAAGCCATTCCAGGCCCATGAACCACCAGGTGATGGGGAGCAAGCAGTCGGCGCCAATTTACCAAGGGCACATTCTGCCATCCAAGAGGCAACGACTGGCCCTGTGGTGGAGGGGAAACAGCAGCTGTCATTCACCTCGACCGCAGCAAGGCGTTCAGCGGCGTGTCCCGCAGCAGCCTCGCAGCCCGACTGAGGATACGAACTACAAGGTGAGCGAAAAATATCCGAACCACCAGGCTCAAAACAGTGGTTCAAGTCTAACTGTCAGGGGGTTACAAGTGACATTCCTCATTAGTCCAAACAAGGGCAAAATGCGTTGAACATCCTCCTTAACAGAGGAGAGCCCAGCTAGGACACTGATTTGTCTAGCCTGGAGAAGAGAAGGCCGAGAAGAGACCTAGCTACAGCTTCCCACTGGAGAAGGGACCATGGAGAAGACAGAGCCAGACTCTTCCCAGGCATTCAACGAAAGGGCAAGGGACAATTGCAAGCTGTGACCAGGGAGCTGGCTGTGAAGAACAAATGCTTGCCCATGAGAGCAGCTACGTGCTGGGATGGGCGCCCAGAGAGGCTGTGGAACTTCCACCACCGGAGGTTTCCAAACCTCAACATCTTGAGCAACTTGCTCGAGCTTTAAAGTCGACCTGGCACTTTGAGGGGGTTGGACTAGATGACCTCCAAATGACCATTCAACCTGAATTTTTCTATGATTCTGTGATTCCAATTGTATATGTAAATAGAAGAAGTCTAATCAGTGAAAAGCTACTGGTCACATTTATTCTGACAGGGCTTCAGGCTGTTCCACCTGTCAGGTCTCGGGCACCATTACTGTGCTTCTTCAGCCAAAAACTTCATATACTGTTTCCGAGCAGGATAATCATCAGCCGGCCTGTTGTATGCTGTCCAGACGGGTTCTCCAACGAATAGCCTCATTGCCTTCACGTAGTTCTGTCAAAGAACAAGAAGTGACAAGTAATTTAAGAGCTATTTCCACGGGACCTTAATGCTTCATTTGCGCTTCCGCAGAAATTTTTGAAACCATTTCAGGATGGACTGAAAGCTTCATGTGTTCCAGAAAATTACACCACTACGCTGCTGTTCCTGCTCCCAGCTCCTGCAGCAGATTTTGCACCTATGCAGTAATATATTGTGTTACAACCAGTGCCTCCAGCTCAGGCAGAGACAGTACTTCTCCCCATTTCAAAGAAACCAAAAAAATCTGGTCTTACGCAAATCTTTTGCACTGGATCCACAATACTGAGCAATGCAGCATCTAAATTCTACTTTCTTAGTTAAACAACAGCAATCAGAATACCCAAGATGGCTACACAGTGCTTTTGAGGAAGACCAGAAGTTTCAAAGTGAGAGCCATAAAAGCTCAATAGAGCATAAACTGGCCAAAAAATAATGCTGCGGGAAGTTTTTTGTCTCCAGATTCCAACAGGAAAAGCAAGAGCCCCTGCCACCAGCTAACCAGAAGTATGCCAGGTGCAAGGTACAGCTATGGCAGCAGAAAATGGGATTTTACATCCTGCAGCAGTGCTCCAGCCACTGAGTTACAGGGAACTCTCCTCTTCTGTCCACCACGCTACAGACTTAGACCCTACCTATTTTGTAAACACTGCTAAGTGCTTATCTTGCACCCAGGTGCTCAGCAGTGTCAAGAATCGAGTTAGGTACCTAAAGAACTTAGCTGCAAAATGCAAGGGTCTAGAGGCACCTAAAGAACTTACTTTGAAGATGGCACTTTTGAACTAGAATTCCTGAAGTGGACAAACATTTAAGACTTCTTGTGGATTCAACCCGTAACCCCCGATATTTTGTCTACATAAAGAAAAAGGCTTAAACTAGCAATCGCAGCTGATTCACTGAGGATCTCAAAATGCAGACGTGAAAAGTTGGGGTTTCACCAAAGTAGAATCTCCCTTTTTCACATACGTGCTAACTGCTATCTGGAGAGCTGATTTAAAGCGATACCATTCTCAGGATTATGCCAGAGACAGAATTTTGCCACCCGGGAGGCAGCACACATTTCCCCGTTTTCCAGGGGTAATGCTGAGGTTACAACAAATTTATAAGGGCCCACAAGGACAGACGCACAGATCAGGACTACGTGTGCCAATCTCACAGTCCCATTGCCAAAAATACCCTCCGAAAGCAGGTCACCTTCGGTGAAGCCAGCATCCAGCCTAGCACACGCTAGCTGCAAGTAGTGGCTCTGGACCCTTAAATCCTTCTTTCCCTGAAGGTGAATTTAGCACTCGTGAAAAACGCCACTGCTGGGCACAGATGTGCTCTGTCTGTCCCCACAAAGACACACAACAAGGCAACAGGGAAGGATCCAGCTACACCAGCTCCATCTCAGCTGACAGCAGGGGCAGCCGCGGGAGGGGCAGCCGCAGGGCTGGGCCCTCACGCAGCTGTCGGTAAAATATGCTACGGCTATCACATGGCAATGACTTGCAGTTACAGCTGACGAGAGGAAGCTGGATTTGTGACCTGGAGATGAAAGGTTCAGATGCTGTGAATTATTTAGTATTTTTCATATTCCTACTTCATATTTAATATGTTTTGCTAACAAACTGCAAGTCTCAGGGCATGTAGTTACTAATGTGATATATACTCACATGGATTTGTCATCAAAATTTACAGTAATCTATAACAACATACGTTCTCATCCAGTGTAAAGCGGTGATATATGCCAGCAGGGAGGGTTATCATGTCTCCTTTCTCCATGGAAATCCGGATCCATTTATCATCCTTGTCTCGAACATCAAAATAGCCAGATCCATCCAAGACGTAGCGAATTTCATCGTCTAGGTGTAAGTGTTCTTCATAAAATGTTTTTATCTAGGAATAGCAAGTATCTCTTAAAACTACTGAACACAGAAAAACTGCAAAGAAATCTGGTAGAAACATGTGGCAAAGCAGACAAAGGCTTTCAAAGGCTAACTGCACAGCGGTTTAAGTAACGGATGAGACCAACGTGGTTAAAGTGGCAAATCCAGCCAGGCCCCCAACTCAGGACACTTCTAAGCAGGCTGCTACATTTCCTTTGGAACACAGGAATTTCTCTAACAAGAAACAGCAGCTATAGCTGCACAGAACCAGGCCCTGAATAACAATAATGCTTACACCCATCTGAAAGGGAGGCAGGTAAAACTTCCCACTGCAGGATTTCTGTTGTCCTCGCAGTTGTTCAGTTTGATCATTTTGTGCCTTTTTTTCCCTGACATGCAAAAAATAAGAGCTGCATAACATCCCCCCTCTTTCACACTGGTGTAGGGCTGAATTATTCCCACAGGCTACTACAGCTGTACGTGAAAATGCAGTCACTGCCAAACACGGCCCATTGACAGCAATCTGATGCAAACAGCACGTCACGCCTGCCCCCACACAGTGAGCCCCGGCTCCAGGCTCTCTCCTCCCAGGCAGCAGCAGCAACATTCTCGTTTTTTCCGGAATGGTGACTCCTTTGTACATTTCACAGCACAGAACAAAACACCCTTTACAGTTCAACTAACAGAGACCTGGGCGGGTTAGTGCACAGAGAGCAGCGCAGCGCCAGGTACCATCCCCCGCTCTGGATGCTCTTTAGCCACACCGCTGCAGGCGTGCCCGAGCCAGTGCTGATCCAGCACGGCAAGGTGAGTAGAAGTCCACCTGCCCTGTCAATAACGGCCCGTCTTTGTGTCCAGTAGAGCCCACTCAGGCAACCCGAGTAACGACCTAATTCACCTTCTCATCCATTTAAAACCAGTGTAACACAACAGGTTTAAAACAAACTGGTGTACTAGGTTTGCGTGGCAAGGTTTCGGTACCGGGGGGGGGGGGGGGGGAAATGTGAGAAGCTGCTAGAAGTTTCCCCGGTGTCCATCAGAACCAATGCCAGTCAGCTCCAAGACAGAACCACCGCTGGCCAAGGCCGAGCCCATCAGTGACAGTGGTAGCACCTCTGTGGTAACACATTTATGAAGAGGAAAAAAGCAGCAGCAGAGCAGCAGTCAGGAGGAGGAGTGAGAATACGTGAGAAACAGCCCTGCAGACACCAAGGTCAGTGGAGAAGGAGGGGGAGGAGGTGCTCCAGGCACTGGAGCAGAGATTTCTCTGCAACCTGTGTCCCCCTGCAGCCCATGGAGGTTAATGGTGGAGCAGAGATCCACCTGCATCCCATGGAGGACGCCATGGAGCAGTCTGTTCATGAAGGAAAGGACCCACGCTGGAACAGTTCATGAAGAACTGCAGCCCGTGGCAAAGAACCATGTTGGAGGAGGACTGTCTGCCATGGAAGAGACCCACAGCAGGGGAAGAGTGTGAGGAGTCCTCCCTCCAAGGAGGAAGGAGCAGCAGAGACAACCTGTGATGAACTGACTGCAACCCCCATTCCCCGTCCCCCTGCACCACTTGGGGCAAGCAGATACAAGAAAATCAGGAGTGAAGGTTCAGCCTGGGAAGAAGGGAGGGGTGGGGGGAAGGTGATTTAAGATTTAGTTTTTATTTTCCCATTATCCTACTCTGATTTGATTGGTAATAAATTAAATTAATTTTCCCCAACTTGAGTCTGTTTTGCCTGTGATGGTAATTGGTGAGTGATCTCTTCTCGTCCTTATCTCGACCCATGAGACTTTCATTATATTTTCTCTCCCCTGTCCAGTTGAAGAGGTGAGTGATAGAGCTGCTTTAGTGGGCACCTGCCATCCAGCCAGGGCCAATCCCCCACAACTGTAAAATGGAAATTTAATTAAAATATGGAAATGCCACTGGGCTGCTGTCCTCAGGTCAGAGCAGCACACCAACACTCAGAGGCAAGGAGCAGAAAGCTCCTTCTAGGAGGCTCATCTGAGAGCCTGGCACCACTAACATTCAGCTATTAGGAAACAGCCAAGGTACCAGCTTCCCAAGGTAAAAAAGCGTTCTTGTAAAGGAAATGAAGCCCTCCGATTCCACGAGGTTAACATCCACTTTGAAAAGATGTATTTTGCAAGCAGCCATTAGGATGTTTCAACCTTCAAAACCCGTGCCCAGCTGGCAACCACCTGCCTTCATCCCGGAGAGGCGCTCTGAGGACAGGTCAGCATTGACGGGGCGCTGCTGGTAGGAATCTCAGTTTCAAAATGACACACTGGTGGAAACTAACCTTAAAACCTTTGAAGGCAATCTCCAGAAGCAAAAGGCCTCTGCTACTTTAAAAATAATATCAATACTGCTTTTTTTTTTTTTTTTTTTTTTTTTATGTTAAGGACTTCAGCAGATGATGTATTTTACACCTGGAAACCTCATCTCCATGCCCTGCACAGGGTGTGCAGGTGCTAAGGTGCCGGCTGCACACTCTGGCGGTAGGCTTCAGCACGCAAATCCTCACGGAAAGCAAAGACTCTCGTACCTTCTCCTCATAATTTGGAAGCTTGTCTTTATGTATGGTTATTATATCCATCCAAGAATAATTTTCTGCTCTTCGAATCTCTTTCAGACATGGATCAGTCTCATAGTTATCAGCATCCAACTACAAAATAGGGGGAAAAAAAGCATTCAGACACAATCGCTCGAGACGCGATTCAGGACGCTAACGTGGAAAACCCGAGAAGCCAGGAGTGCCGGTGTA